GGAGTTACCTGATTTACAGTTGCTTACTAACTGGTTCCACTTCATTAAACATTTTCTCTTTAGAAAAAAGCAGGAAATTCCTCATCATTAGAACTTGCCTACATAATTAAACTTGCCTATAGTGATCTGGATGCCTTCACTTCCCCACATAATACAGGCATGAATGCTATGAAAATTTGAGACAAACACAATTTAAAATAAATGGACAACATTGGAGGGTCTAAGTCACATAATTGTTATTACTAAGGAACTCAAGTAAATCAGTGAAACTGTAATTGTTGTTTTATACAGGAGATAACAAAGAAGAATAAAACCACATTTCTGATCAAATTGATGCCATTTACTAGAGAATGGGAGTGACACCAGTTATTTAATTTATTCCTTTTGAATTTAAATCGCCACAATTTTGAGACATAGCATTAATCTCCATCAATGATGGACGTAGTCAAGTATTATTATTGTATGCAGTATATTTTCTGTCATTTGGGAAGTATTTTTTTTTCTATCAGAAAGTGAGTGGATTTCATATTCTTTACCCAAGGAGCAACCAGCTTCTGTTTTTGTCAAACTTAAGGTGCTCCCTCTCATATCTTCTTTCTCCGGCCTTCATTCGGGCCATTCTACATGGGGAGGCAGCTGGACGCCTGTCTTCATCCCTGGGTTCCTGATAGACCCAAACTCCAGTCTATGGCTGCAGCCTCCACATAGCTAGGAATACATTATGCAAATGCAGAAGCTCTGATGATAGTTGTCATAATCCAATTTAGAGCTTTATTATTACTATATTTTTGAACTTGAGAAATGGGAGAACGTAGACAGGAAATAAGAAAACAAAGGGTCTGCTGGAAAGAAAATTACCTTCACCAACACCTGCCAAATGGAGAGGGGTTGAGAAATAGATGTTCCTGAGCATAGGTAAAAATAGAAATAAAGACCTTATAATTTAGCTGTCAATGGATGAGTAGCCACCTCACTGTGCCTCCATTTCTTTATGGTAAAATAATGATTGATTTGTGCTTTCCTATTAATATTTCAAATTAGTATATTTTCCTTGCCTCATAGATTCTGATATGACAGGGAGTAGAAGCTGACTGGAGGCACGAGCTGTGGGGAGTACACACACACACACACACACACACACACACACACACAGGCACACGTAGAACAGCACTGTCAGAGTACTTGACCCAGAATGTGGGTATTGAATTGACTGGGGCATGAAGCTCCATCTAAGCACCCACAGGGAAAGATAGGTACAGAACAGAGTTGGACTTGGAAGAGAGGGGTGTGCCAGCCTCCACAGGAAGATAGAGCCGTTCAGCTCAAAGAGGGAAGCCACCAGAGTGTCCCATTGCCCTTTGAGCACTTTTAGGAGTTCTTGCTTCCCACAAATTCATCAGAGTCCAGCAAATCCCACTGGGTTGAGAGGTGCAGGGCTCCCGGGGATCTGGGTAAAGTCAATCCAAAGGGGCATTTCTTCAATTAGGCTTGTCCTAATGCCTGGGGCTTGAAGAATGTTCTCTCTTACTTTTCAAGCCAACTGTATCTGCCAAAACAATTTTATATCATTTTCCACTTTTCATATTATAAAGACATTAAGATTTTTTTCAGAGAGCAGTTCTAAACAGGCAGTGAGGAGACAGAAAAACTTGTCGATCTATTAGAGTTCTGCTTGCCTAGCACATTTTGTCCTATTTTCCAAGGAGCTGACTGGAATCTTCCAGAAGCTTCCCCAGCATTTTGCTCTGTGTGAGATGATGGCTTTGGTTTCTTGCTGCCAGGATGTGGGTGTAGGACTGTCATGAGGTGGACCACTAAGCCGCCCACTCACCAGCAAACAAGAGCTCAAGGATAACCTTGTGTTCCTTTAACAGGAAGAAAGTATAGGAATATTTCCACCGCTCTAGAATTTATGGAGCGAGACGCATCCTAGCTGAAAGTACATTATAATCTTGAATGTATATATTTAAGCCACATTCCCAACTGCACCCCTTGAAATAATAGAATGTTTTGTGGGTAAAAATGTCCCCAGTGCTCCATTTTTTAAAGGGATGTTGGTTAAAGGAATTTCTCAAAAATCATGTTAGGTTCTATTTTGCCTAAGGAAAGTACCTGGCTTACCCCTTCGATCTCCTTAAAAACAATAAATAGCTGTAGAGCAATTATGAGAGGTCCCAGGGTGTATTTTTGAGGACTCATTCACCTCTTAGATTTAAGCCTCTTGTTTTTAATGATGTTGAAAAGGGTGGTAAGATTCTGGCTTTGGCTCCTTCCAAGCAAGGCAGGGGAATCTACTGTCTGATTCTTGCTGCTCAGATCTTTCACCACCCTGGCAGCCTCTCAGGGCAAGACAACAACAACACAGCAGCAGGACTGAGCAAGGACTGCTCCTGTCCACATTCCCTGCTCTCTCCCCTCCCTTGGCCTTTGTTCTCCTAGTCTGGCCACCCTCCGCCCGTTATTGGATGCCCAGGCATCCTGGGGAGCATAGAGGATTGAAAGATCTGTGTGGTCCCTGCAAAGGGCAAGCCACAGCTTCCCATTGAGACTGTTCTCTTTCTTCAAAGTTTGCAGAGAAGAGAGGATGAAGGGCATCACAGATGCCCTGACATTGCCAGAGGGTATGGTCTTAAGAGATGCTGTGAGCTGGAAGCTAAGGTAAAAACCGGGGCAAAGAAAAGAGCATCCACCCCATTCAGGAGCTGAGCCCTGCTGGAAAACCAGCCCTGATGGTCAAGATGGAGATGCAGAGGAACAGTGCAGGTGGCTGCTCATCAGACAGAATTCAAGAAAGAGGGGAAGGCAAGGTCCTTCACTGTGTCCCTTCTTCCTGAAGTCACAACACACACATCACATTTTGGTTTAAAGAGATAGGAATTTAATTTTTATAACTAACTTATCAAACCTTCGAGAAAATGGTTATTTCTTACTCATTTTAATTAAAAAGTGTTTTTAAAAAATCTAATAGTAGGGGTGATGTTAAATGAAAGTTGTAACCCAGGAACTAAAGTTTCTTCCATTTGCAAAACTATCTTCTCTATTCATAGGTGAATCTGTGGATCTCATAAGGCCAGAAATTGACTGAGAAGAACATGAGTATTATTTAATAGCTTAGTCAAGATACATGTTGGTTGCCCTTCTCGGGAGAGATCAAAGAAGATACTTAATCAAAAGATAACTCTTGAAAATGGAAAGAGGGATGGAAGGAAATTATAAGAGCTATAAACATTTTGACAGAATTGTCTATAGGAACTGGGATAAGATAGTCCTGAACTGGGCCATAGAATGAAAAAAAGGGAGAGAGAAAGGAGAGGCACAGCATAAATGTGAACTATGTTTGCTCTTATTAAGAATACCCCACTTGCAAAGAACAGACCCAGCCACTAGGGCTGCTGAACAAATACAGAACAAAGAGATTCCAATGCATTCTGACACCATTCCCAAATTCTACTGTAACAGGTTGACACCGTGGCTATACACAATTATTTCAGTATCCTTTTCTCCCTGCCATGGGTGCATTTTAAAACAAAGAAGAGCCCCCATTTCACTGATATCTGAGCTGAAGAATGAATAGCACAGAAGCTTTGGGAATGGGTGAAACTGAAAGTGGAATTCTCCACATACAAACGCTGTCTTTATTTCCAAGACCCTGCTCTCAGTGAAGCATTCATTATGTGCAACACAGATGAACAGCATTTAGTCTTTATTACCTTATCTTTTGCTCTCCACTGCCCGATAAGAGGGGGATCACCTTACTTCCATTTTCTCAGAAGAGGACACCTTATTTTTGCCAAAAAGGTAAATTTATTTGTCCAGAAATCTCCCCTGACCCTGAGGCTTGATGCCCGCATGATCTGGCCATGGACTTCAATACTCTGGAATTGAATAACAGATTAAAGTTCTTGCAAAAGTGGAGAAATGCAATGAAAAAAAAAGAAAAAAGGGATAATGAGAAGAGAATATGAAGAGCATAGAGAGCTGTCAGGCCCTTGGATAATAATATCTATACTTGAATCATTCAAATAAGTGGCAGGAAGGGGATAAGGACATACAAGAACTTAGGCATAGCTCCATGAGCTCAAACTTTAATTGAAAGAGGAAAATTAGCTAGGCAGTAAAATTCCATGGAAAATAAAGTTATTGAGCATTTAAGAACAAAAATACCCACACACACACATGTCTGTAGGGCAGATCCTTAAATTCCTTAAACCACACAGTGGCCTCAATGTCTCCATTGGGACTAGAAAAGTCTTTTCAGATTCAAACCACTTCCATGAAAAAAAATCACCCATGAATAACTTTCAAATGGTTTCCCAGGCTGCATCAGGGTTCCACCGAGCTTTGTGAGTGTCAGATTTGAATGAAGTGATGACATGTTGAGGACACGTGGATTAACAGTAGCTCCTGTATAGAAACATACCGGCATGTAGGTTCCCTAGTACATTTTAAAAATAGCTTTAGGAGCTTCGCAGAGATTGAAGAATTTGTGAGATGCAATTTTACTGTGTTGTGATTTGAAATTAATAGGAAAGGTGTTGAAACATTCTGTTTGCTCCTGTACAGTTGAGTCTGCTGTCTAAATAATTATGCACCCCAATTAAATCCTCAGGGGTGCCAGGAAATTCCAATCAGGAGATGAAGAGATATTTTAAATTCTCAGTAGTTAGTTAACCTGAACTGTTGGGGTGGTGTGCTTTGAAAGGTGAGAAGCCATGAAATTATCCTTTTTTTCTTCTTTAAAGTAAACGCAGGTTATATTCCAATATGAACACTGCAGCCTGATCCCTGTCTCCACCTTCTTTGATAATCTTAATCATAAAGATTTGCCATTACAAATTTTTGGCAAGACCTGTTTTCCTTTGGATTTGGTGGGTCACATTCAGTGTGGAACAGTGAAAAGCAAACTTGTAAATGAATTGCTCTGGAATTTCTGTCTGACTTAAGCATTTTCTTTTATTTCGTTTTGGCATTGAAAACATTACATTTCTGTTTCCTTATAGAGTAGTGTATCAAGAGCCTGTGTATGGCAATAAATTGCTACAGGTATGAAATCTTGACTGGTAGAAAAACTCATCACTATGATCTTGGGTTTGCTGTGAAATTCTTACTAACCAGATGATTCTGGGAAGGGGAACTGTAACCTAAAAGGAGAAAAGACTGAACTGAATTTTCCAGTTTTAATGTGAATTCTTCTGGTTTAAAGATGGTCATCTTCTTATCTCGATATGTCCATGAGTGGGGTGGGAATGGTTGCTTTCAAGTATCAGGGATGTTTCCACAACAGATCTTGTTTAGCCATCGCCTGAGCATGGCAAGTGAGTGTATCCAACTGGAGGTGTCTCTTGGCTGTTAATTTCTTGACTTTAAATATATCTGGACTCAAGCAGTATAAATTCAGCAAAAAGAATTAAAGGGATTCAGTGAACCAACCTTCTGGGCCAATATATATATATATTGCGGGGGGGGTTGAGACAGGGTCTCACTATGTAGTTGAGACTGACCTGGAACTCACTATGTAGCCCAGGCTGGTCTCAAACTCACAGCAATCCCCCTGTCTCAGCCTCCCCAGCACTGGGATTTAAGGCATGTGCCACCATGCCCAGCTCTTCTGGGCAATATTTTAATAGGTTCTCTGAGTCCACTGGCATGGAAAAGTAAAAAACCTGTGCATAAACTTTGGGAGTTAAGGACCTGCAGAGCTAATGTCTAATACGATCCTCCCTGGTTTCGTTGTGGTTGGTGAGAAATTTATTTCAAACCTGTTTCTCACAGCTGAAACAATCCCTAATTAATGAATCTCTAGGAAGAAAAACATCAACACATGTATTGCTGGGTGAGCGTACCTAGGTTTCACCTATCACTGACTTTAAAAGTGTTAAATAAAATGAGAGGTAAATATCAAAGTGAAGATGATTAGTGAGAGTTTTGTGACACAAGCTTCCCAATCACATGCAGATCCCATTTTTATTCAAAATTAGTTCCGTGAACACGGTGTTTTTTTTAAAAACTGTGAGAACTGCTCCGATTTTATTTTTTTAAATCCATGAATATGAGAAAAGGGCCCTTGGACAAGAGGAAGAAAACATAGTTAAAATTCCTGAGATCAACTTTTATGGTTACATTTCAAGAACCCTGCACTTCTATTGCCCCACACTTCCAAAGCAGCTGAGTGTATGATAGGCATAAATATAATGCTGATAAACTAGGGAGTCCTCATTTATATTTAAGGTTTTGATTCTGCAGGTGTTCTTGTAAATGTTACTGTAGTCAAGAAAATTTGAGTTATCGTTATACTAATGCACCTGCATTGAACAAAGTGAGACCAGACGCCCGGCTGTTCTCTGGAAGGGGAAAACCTCCCTCCGCGAAGGAGCCCACGGCGTTCTGCTCTGCGTCTGTGCCGAAGTGAGGAAGCCCACACAATCCCACCCCTGTCAGTCCTGCCCCTGAGCATGTTCTCAGCGCCCGAGGGCTTTCCTGTCTTCCTCATTTATTATTTGACTTGGAGGACCTTTTTTATCCCCAAAAAAGTCTGTTCTAATTGGAACCTTAGACCTTCATCATGAAAGCACTTTGCAATGCGTTAGAGATCCTCGGTCTTAATCAGGGTTATTTTAAGAAGTTCCAAAAACAGGTTTCTTTGGGTTTAACACAGCATTTCCCAAACCTGTTTGTCCATGGAAACTTTCCTTTTCCTGCCACCATTAATATCCCACCAAACATGATTTCAACGATGCTTGATTAGAGCATCATTTGAAGTCCTTAAGGAATAATTTTCCCAAGGGGCCTCCAGAAATTTCACTAATGAAGGAAACATTTTAGTCTAAGCATGTTTCTTTAATGCCCATATGTGGTGGTGGCAGCAGCAAAATCCATAGTGGCCATGAAAATTTATTTTTATATAAAGCCGTATTATACTTTTCTGCCCAACTTGAGAAAACATGAGTATGTTTTATGAGAGGAAAGTACAGAAGTAAATTATTTGTTTTACCCTTTTCCCTTTGGTTTAATGACGGGAAAAAATCTGCTGGTCAATGACATTAAGTCATAAGGTCTCGAAGGGCCAGGGTGAATATCCATAGGATCTGGTTGGCCTCAAATAGAAGACAGCTCCTTGTTCAGACATTACCACAGAACCATGCAGAAGTTCTGCCTCTGCTCCGCAAGCTGCAAAATAACAATACAATGGATCAGAGTCACTGGTTATGAGGCAAATTAAAGCCATTTGTATTTTGGATCATTTTATAGTGTATGCGTTCATACATTCACTGAGGGTTGAGTTAATATACAACCCCGATTTTCCCCTATATAGATTTCATGTAAAAGAAAAGTAGCAAGGAAGACAGTGTGATATAGAGAGGTGGAGTTATGAAGCCCCCTAGTCCTTTTTTTTTTTTTTTGCCTCAGTTACTATGTTTCAGGAATGACTTAGACATGTAGCATCCAATACCATTAGCCACCAGCACCATGTGGCTATTTATGCTTAAATTCAAATGAACTAAAATGAAGTAAGTTAAAATTTCAGTTCGCTATACTACCCACATTTCCAACAGCAACACATGGTCTGCTGGACATCTCTCAGACCACTGATCAAGGTCAAAACAATCTCACTTTCTCTGAAGACTTTAGTAAACTGTTTTATTGAGTCTTAAGTCAACAATACTTGAAAATAAAGACCTAGCTGATAAAGACAAATATCAGGATATCGGCCATCTGTGCCTACCTTCTATGAAGATGCACACTTACTTTCCCTAAGTGGACAAGACATGTAAATCTACCATATAGAGGTTATTCCTAGATCTTCATAGATGACCACATCTGCTGCGCTGAGAGAGCCCAGGTGTACACACCTGCATTTGATGTTCCTACAGTAAATATCAACCTCATATTCACGGGGGTTCCTCTTAGTTATTTTCTGCTTGGCCTATTGTGGTTCTTGTCATTCACCAGACTTGCCACCTACTTTCGTTGATTGGAAGCACTGCTAAAATTGGAGATATGCAAAATTCAAATTGTGAAAGAGATTGCAAATTGGACATTGCCGGAAAGCTTTGCTAGGACCAAACTCATAGTCACCCAGTCCAAATTTACACGGCACCTTGCGTGTCTAGCTAGACAAATACTTTTCAGTTGTTCTGGGAGAGAGAGGAAAAATACATCCATACATTTTCTCCACTGGAAGTTTTCAGCTAGTAGCAACTAAGGACTCCTAAGGATCAGCAAGTCAATTCCAGCCCCTCCCTGTGTCGTGAAGTTTCATATCCGTACTGGCAACCCTATATCTTTCTTTAGGCATCATGAAAGCCAGGAGAATGGCAAAGCAGACTAAAGGAACAGCTCCAGAAACTTGGTGACCTCATTTCTCCTCAGCCCATCATTCTGTGACTTGAGCTCAGTGCTGGTATGACAACTCCTTTCATTTGATGACTTTCCAGCACATTTAAAGAGTCTTTCCATTCCTAATTAGAGAATGTGGTTTTTAGAACACCAAGTGGTGTCTGATTAAGACTTCAAAAAAAAAAAAAACAATTCACATTGTTTTGTTTTGTTTTGTTTTAAAGGAGACTAAAACATATATGCTGGCTCCAAATTACTGTTGGTCATCTGTCAGGATTTCTTGGATGTGTCCTTATCAGGGATGATCTAAAGAACAAATTTCTTTAAGGATAAGCCAGTTATTTTGAATTTTGAAGGATAAGGTAATTCACTCTGAAAGTTAGCTGTAGCTAGAAGGAGACAGGAAGAAATTATTAAACTCATTTTATGTACATTCGAAGGATGCTTTTTACAGTATTCCGGCTTCATCCAAATGTAATGATGCCAGTCCTCCTGCACTGATGATTTTTGCTATGAAATGTCCTCAGATACAGTCTTTTATCCTGAACCACCCCTTTAGAGTGAGGGGAAGAATCCTTTCCTCAAAGGGTTATGGGACTGACTGTACATTCTAATTAGAACCTGAATAGTCCCTGTGTTATCAGTGGAAACTGGATCCTGTTTGTTAATTGTGCTGAGATCATTCCACAGTGGTTGACATATTGCCGTGGTCTGTTGAGCAAGAAGCCCTGTTATTTTCACAGTTTGATAATCAATGCTCCACTGAACACAGTTCCTTTTGAATATGCACATTTGCTGGTCCTTCTTGCTTAATTGAACAGTAGCAATTACGGGTACATACAACTAAATGTTAATTATTTTTCTTTTTAGATTTTTTTTTCTCTTCATGATTTTATTTACAAATTAGAAGGCTTTATCATATTTTCTGTACCAAACAAATTCCACATCTGAACCAGTGTGACACAAACAGTGTGGCACTTTCGGCCAAAAAGATGAAAGACTCAAGAAATGTTCACCATGTTTATGATAATTTTGTAACATTTTGACAGCTAATACAGTCTTCTTCCATAGTATTAGTCATTAAGTAGCCGGGCGTGGTGGTGCATGCCTGTAATCCCAGCACTCGGGAGGCTGAGGCAGGAGGATCACTGTAAGTTTGAGACCAGCCTGGACTACATAGTGAGTTCCATCCAGGTCAGTCTCAACTACATAGTGAGACCCTGTCTCAAAAAAAACAAAACAAAACAAAAAAACAAGTATTAGTCATTAAGTGACTGCAAATGCAACTGATAACCAAGACACTTTCAAAGGGCTATCTGATTCTTCTAATAAATACAAAAGATATGAGTACATTATTCTCATAAGGACACAATTAAGGACCATTTGAATACATTTTAAATTACCACCTTGTAAATAAAGGTAAAGCATAGTCAATTTAAAAAATCTGGAAAGTTCAGCAAAGTATAAAGAGTATTTAAATCCTCAATAATCCTCCTCACTTCAAGACAGTTACCATTAACACTTCGGTATGTTTTCTTCTACGGGCACCGGGGTTCTTCTTCTGTGCTTAGGATGTGCTTAGGTCCTCTAACCTTTAACATGCAGGGGGGTTGAAATTGCACCCTTTCTCTCTGCAGTGTGTTTTGTACTTCTCCTTTTTGTACTAAGCTCTTATTAACCTCAACTTCGGCTTGGTAGATTTGGGTAACTGCTATTGTGCTGTGGTCTCACTGCTTGGCATCCCTTCCTTGGCCTTCTCTGCTTCCCTAACTCCAGTTTCTCTTTCTGTTTTAGGGTGGTTATGCTGCATACCGCTACGCCCAGCCTACCCCTGCCACTGCTGCCGCCTACAGTGACAGGTAAGGGTCCTCCTACTCGTGCTTGACAACTACTTGAAAACTAACTTAGTTGGTGGGATGGGAGATTCCTATCTGGTCCTGCTGAATAGGCATGACTAGCGGGGAGGAATCCAAACATCAGGTTCCATGGTGCAGGGATACATAAGGCCACAAGGACAGGAGGAGTGAGTAGGCCTAGTTCATTCCAAACTCTTCCCCTTCTCTGCTAATACACAAAGGAAGGGTTGTGTGTTATCCTCCCGTAGTTGCTTTTTAGATTCCTATTCCTGTGACCGTATACATTGCTTACACACATCGACACACACACACACACACACACACACACACACACATATACTGCTCTACAACCTTCTTATGGTTGTCTGTGTAAGACCACAGTTTCATCTGACTCCAAAGGAAAAAATAGAATGATCCTGCAGGTTTACCTCCATTTCAAGCACTTTCTTTCCCTTTTTACACCCAGGAAAACATTTTAAAATTCAAAATAAAGGAATGAAAAGTGTATATGAATTTCATAAGAAAATGTATTGCTCTTTTGGCAATGCCCAGTGTCAACAATCCTACAGACATAGATTGCCTTTTATTTGCAACGCACACCACACATCAAAACTGGCAGTGGAAGGAACAGAAGTGTGTTGGAGAAATGCAGAAGTCGGAATGATTGTGTAGGGGCAGCTTAATTCCCTAGGCTTTACAGATGACTTAGTTCCTGCAACAGCAAGCCATAGCTATTTTTGTGTAGGTGCCTTGAAAAAATGAAGTGTGTGTTTCCATATTGAATGCAACTCCTTGGCTCTGTTTCTGAGGACATAAATGTGAATGTTCAGATGCTGTGCATGCACAAATGTCATAGAAGGTGCTTATTTTGGTAATGACTCCTTTAATTTGAAAAATATGTTTCATGAATAAAATAATGATAATAATTTGCATGTGTGGCTGAGGCATGCTGGGTCAGACAGGTAAGCAGGCAATGGACTTGAGTGTTGGGTGGGAAGCAACGGCAGCCTCTCTTTTCCCACCTGGCCTGTGGTGATTGACTTCTCTCTCTCTCTGTTTGCTGTGGTGTGCTTTTCCAGCAGTTCCATTCCATTTCTCACAAAATGAGTTGTTACCCCCTCATAGCTACAGAATTCTTCTAGAATATAACCAAGTCAAATAAATTCCTGAACTTTAATACCGGCACTTGGAAAACTCCATGCATATACTTATAACAAATGACTCTCGGACAAAGTCGAGTTGAGATCTGCTGTCTGGCTGGAGGCAGATATAATTTTCTCATCAATAACCATACCAAGGTCTCAAGATGATAGGGAGCCTTCAAAGAAATGCAAACCACTGCTAAGGCATAGTAAATGTACAACTTACCTACTTATCCGGTAATCAGTTGCCAAGGTACAAAATGTTTCCCGTAAGTTGTTATCTCCCGTATACATTGACACCAGATTAGGAAAATAGAGCTAATAAAGCTAATAAAAATGGCAGCAATCTTGAAACACTCAAGATCATTCTACAAATGAAAAGGCTTTAACACTATTAAATTCCACACCCTGAAGAGTCACACATTATCAACTGTAATGTTGTTTAGCTATAACCCTTAATTATTTTTATGAAAATATCTCTAGATGCTAAATTCTCAGATACCCACTTTGTATGTAATTATAATTATAGTAACTTTAGCCTGCTGCATAATTATAAGAATCTTAAATGGATTTATTTCTTTGAATTTTTATCTTGCTTCTCAGTATAAGTGCATCTATCACCAAGTTGAAAAAAGGTTAATTATAAAATTACAAAATCACCTTCTTTAATAAGATCAATCTACACAGTCTAAAAAGTAAACAACGTTTAATACTGTTCTGAGATTGGCTTGAGAAGCTAGCAATCAGCGCATGTATCTTCTAAGCTTCCATTAAAATTTTCTTCATTTTGCAGTACTATGTATGCAAATATATGTGTAAAATGTGTAGTTTTCATATTGTTAAGATTTCTCATCGGCAACATATCCTGCTGAAAAAATGCCCTCATTCTTAGGTCAGTAAATCTTTAATAACCCTGCAATTCCCAGTTTAGCATAACAGTTTCAGGTAAAGAAACCAACTAACCATATTCTTGTCCATGTAATTGGCCTCTTGTTGTTCATTAGAGACGTTTGCACATTAGGTCTTCTTGGTTGCTGTGGAAATTGATTACTAGCCCTATTTAACTTCATTGTAAGCAAGATACTTGTCACATATGGAATTATTCATTGAGGTAAATCCAGTAATAGGGGAATTACCAGAAAACAATCTCTAAAATGATATTTCTGGTTTGATTTATCAAGGGTCTTTGTGGCTCTCCTTTTATTCTTAGTAAGCAGACTCAGAGAGGGAAGGTCCTTTTATCAATACATACATTTTGGGGAAAATGTGAAATTGTCACAACAGCTTTCGAATACATTTTAAAGATGCCAAGTATCTAAAATTTATCTCAGGGCAACAGTATGATAAATTATTTTTACACCATCATGGTATAGCACCCCTATTAATAGACTCTTAGTTCCTCTCCTCCAGAAGACAGATAGAAAGACAAAGAGATAAACTTCTTAACAGAAAGAAATGCCTTCAAAATAGAAAGGGAAGTCAGCAGAAATAGAGGCTGTTTGGGAAATGCTCACAGGTTGTCAATTTGATCAAAAGAAGCACTACAACAAACGTTCCCTGTAATCATGAGATTCACTCTTCCAACATTTTGAAAGTGAAAGAAGTTTGATGTCCCTAGATGGTAGAATTTTGCCCTGTAACAGCACAAATTAAGCCCTCATCACATTAAAGATTCAGGGACCTCTGGAAAATATTGAGCTGCAGTAACCTCAGGACAGCCCTGAAGGCCTTTAATGGGCACCTCGCAACTCCCTGCCCATCATCGTCCTGGTTAAATGATCACAGCTGATTATCTTGGAGCACCCTGAGAGTCCTTGAATGTTGACCTCCAGAATGAAGACCATCTGGTGTGAACAGAGATTTCCCCAAATGACAAAGATGGAGCTGAACTAGGTAACTTTATAGTCTTATTGACGAATAAATGGGAATAGGTGAACATTTTTTTTTCTCTTGGCATTTAGGAAACATTTGATAAACCCCTGATCTCACCAAATCTTTATGTTTTAATCTCACTTTGACTTATGGAAAGCTAATTGTCCACACTCTCGAGATTGTTTTCTGAGCTTGAATCAATCAAAGCATGGCAGTGGAGCCTATGGTCATCTGGTCATTGCATGCCACTTGGTGTTGCTGATGTGTCTGTGACTTGTTCTGGATTCGACAGGTCCATCCCATTAGCTCTGTGAATGGCTTGCTTGAATTAAGCTGGGGGAGGAGGGCAGTCTTCCTTTATGGATTGGCTCTTGATTCTTTGTTTCTTATGACTGGTCCCTGTTGCATCTTTCGGCAGCCAAACTGGGAGATGGGGAGGGGGGGAAAGTACCTGTTCCGTGAATTGTGCCACAGATATTTAGGAAAATGTGTATGATGTGTACCTAGCTTCGATGGAAATATCTCACTCGAAAGTCAGATATCAGCCATGCTTGTCCTGCTTGCTAACATTTCCTAATGGTCACTGCATGAAAATATCCCTCCATGGCAGGGCAGACAGAAGCTAGAAATCAACCAACTAGAAAGGAAACGAGTGCAATGTGTTTCACTCTGAAATTTTATAACAACGTCATTGCATTCCCAGTTATCAGGGACCCTGTCTTCTCTCATTTAAAATACCCATTTCCTTTAAAGATCTAATACCAGGAAGTTCTGCCATATAATTATAGTGCCAGGCTACACAGGTATCCCTAGGCCAAATGAAAGATATTATAAGCAAAATTATTTTTAAATTTTTTAATTTTTTTGGTTATTTTTAAGACCTTAAAGTTAATTGTCAGCATTATATTAGAAGGTACCGCATGAAATTACTTTCTGTGTGACAAAAGTGGTAGAATATTGGTAATCTTATCGCAACAGAAACCTAAATAAGATGCCCATGAGAACAACTATCTTGCTGTCTGCATACACATCCACCGACATCCACATCTATGCTTTAGGGCCTGACAAAGGACTCATGAGAGTGTCTAGGTAAATCTTAGAACAAGAAAGGTAGGCTTTCTCAAGTTCAGGTGTTATAAAGTACATGCTAGAGCATTATTTAAATTTGATATTAATAAACCATAAATAAAAGGTTCTATTTCAGGTAGAAATAGGTTAATGTTTTTCTTAAAACGTGATAAACATAAGGCATGTCTTTGAGGTCTTGGAGTATGTGGGTAACTGTTTAAAATTATATGGAAATCAATGCAAATACTCCTACATAGATAGATGGATAGCTAGAGAGGTAGAAGAGACGGAATCATTGGTGAGTAGATGAGTGGGTGAGTGGAAAGATGGTGCAGGAAGAAGACAGGAAGGAAAGGACCGTATTTCTGCCATCTTATGTTTCATTCTATGTTAACCTATAGTAAGCAGAACTAAATCCTTATGTATAACCTTAAGGCAAGCTGAAATTGAGAAATAAAAGGACTTAAGCTGATTTCCGTTATGGCAAATTATACACTATCTACTTCATGAGTTTTTATTTTCTGGACACAGATGAAGTATAGAGAAATTCTGTTGTTAAAATATACAGGCAAGCTGGGGGATGCAGCACAGTCGTAGAACAGTTGCCTAGCATTTGTGAGACCCTGGATTTAATCCCCGTTACTGACAAAAAAATAAAATATGTAGGCAAATAATTGGACTTAAAATGATATGCTATTTTATTTGGAGTCCTCATCTAATGATAGTTGTCGACATAAGTGTATGGGCATACTGAATGGAAAATTAAATTGTGTTTAAGGATGATTTTATAGAAAGTTTACTTTTAATGAAAACTGTTGTACTTCATCAGCCTGATGATTTTACCTTTCTTGTCACGTGGTGGAATATAGAAAGTTTAATGTATAGGTAACGCAGAACCTTTACTGAGGGTAGACAGTGCCA